AACACTCTAATCCTTTCACCATGTTTCAACACTAAATTACATTGAGAGTAAAACTGCTTCTCACATGCTCCAAGTAAAAAAATAAGTCAAAATAAATAAAAACGATAAAATGATGAGAAATTGGTACATATACATACACCCTGAGCAGGTCGTAACTACTTATACACCGTACAAAATGTGTTATTAACTTAAAAGATTTTACTTTTTAACAAAAGTTTTGACATTCTGCTTACCTGAGGAAAATAGATAAGAGAGCCAGCAAAAAAAAAACAAAATAAGAAGATGAGGAGAAAGTATAAATAACAATTAATCCTTAAATGAATTTAACATAATACACTGTCTACATTCATCTTGAATTTAAGGCTGGATAATGAAGACTAAAACAAATGGCTCTATATTAATCACTTAAGTCTCTAATTACATTGTCAATGTAATGTCAATGCATCTTGCTGCTCTACTCAGAATGCAGATATTTGCTGCAGAAAAGGAGTTTTACTTAGAGCAAAATACACAGAAAGATGAATCTTTATACCTCAGAGCCATCCACTTTTGACCAAGTGACAGGTATAACAATATTTTCACAACATAGTCAGCTGAGAACCATTAAGAGCTAATCATTAAGATACCTGCTAAGATCCTACTAAACTCCCAAATCAATCCTGTGCTGACATACATTAGCTGGCAGCTGCTTTAAAGACTGCCGGCGGTAGCAGAAGCAAAGATTTACATTTTCCCACATTATAACCAGCATTGATTGAAGAGATTTCCCGACTGCCATACAGGCTGCACTCACCACAGTTGAAGGTGGACGACTCACATTTTCCATCAAGTTGAACTCATACACACTTTGCAGATGACCTTTCATAAAGCTTCCAATCAGATTATAACCTTATGTGACATTTAGTGTGTATGAGGAGAAATTAATCTTGTGTGTATCTGAGTTTCCACAAATTGCTCAGTGACATCATGTCGGCTATCAGACAAGTTGAGGAGGTTTGGCAGCTGGTTTACTTTTCTTTTGTTGGGCCAAGTTCATCGGCTTGTTTGCTGATATGAATGGCAGTCTTTTAATCTGGAGGAAACAAACTAAAGTTTATAAAAACCATGCTTGCAACTAGATTGTGCCAGGTTCAAATCCCCATACTGACTGGCAATAACCTTCACTCAGCCACTTGTATTTCAGACTTGCCAGTCACCTGCTACAACATAACAGACCATGACAAAAGTACACAAAAACTGTAATTAATCTGTCACCAAATGACATTTTGCAGGCTTCTTCTGGGAAGAACCAACATATTTAGCCCTGGAAAAATGTCAAACAGTTTTTCAGTAAGACTGAGCCACTGAGACTGCCACAAGAAAAATACCAACCAACAGTGTCAGGCTGTTTTGCAAAGTTTAGAGGAGTGTGTCGGAGAAACCAGCAGAGGAAGAGTCAAATGAAAGCAAGAATGTGTCAGTAAAAGGTATATGGTATGGTAGCAAAAAGGGGAATCTTACCACCAATATCACAATTTATGACAAAGGGCTTTTACTTCTGAAGTGCACCTTTGCCAGACCTCATGACTGGACTTGTGAATGGAGCTTGGGAGTGACTTGTGCTGATATCAAAAGAGCGGCATGACTCGATATACACAGATGAATACATAACATATCCCTCCTGTGACCCATGACCTTAATCTTTCCTGCATAAAGCTTAGGTATTTGGGATGTACACAGTTACCTAAGCTCTATTCACATTATCAATCAGAATAATCCATTTGATTTCAAGGCAGTTGTTGTGCTCCCTTCTTTTTAAAATGAAATAGTAAACTGTAAATTGTGTAACAGAACTTACTTCAGACTGCATTTTCTATGCACTTAAGCTATCATCGTTTTTCTGCTGGAGAAAATGTAATCAATTATGGATTAATAATTAACATTCCTAATTGAGAGAGTACAGTACAAGAGTCTTGTGGTCTGTCCTGGGAGGAGTAACTGAGTTAAAGGCCAAGTGCTCTTACTGAAGGAAACCAATTTGTCCCAGGGGCAGCTTCATCACTTTATTTGGCAGAGATGCAACCTACTGAGTGGGGACGCTAACCATCCCAAGCTGAGGGGAAATCATTCTCATCTCACAACTCCACCCCCACAATGCTTTGTTCCACTTTTGTGATGCACTCTAATTCAAAACAGAACCAAACAATGAAACTTGGAACAGATTCCTCTACAAGGCTGATCTCGTGCACAGAACAATGCACCTCTGACAAGAGGAGAAAGTTTGGAAATCTGTGTCCTGTTATACTGGGGTGTGTTCCTTGAAATATGTCTTTTTTGGTCCTCCCTGAGATTAACAAGAGAGTTATGAGTTAACAAGGTATTTTAATTACATCTGATGATAGTTAAAATTATGCCTCTGAATGCCAACTTGCCTTTGGGCCTCACTCAGCAAACTGCACAAGTTTTGAGGTTAACCAAAATTCAACATGTGTGTGCATATATGTGGATAAATGAAGCAAGCAGGGTCCATGTAGAGCGATTTGTGAAAAGCAACAGTAGCGACAGGAATACATGTGCTAGCAGCCACAAAGGGGATTTAAGTCGGTATTTGTAGTATTGCATGTGGTCCACTAGGATTGAAAAAATGTGAATCATTTGCGCTGAGATTTGTTACATATTCTCTGGTATAAAATGTAACAGGTGTGGTGCATATTGGACATAAGAAAAACATCTTTAGTGAAAATAGTCACATTCTACATGAAATCTTTCATCGTGCGCTTTGAATTATAATTTAAATAACAAAAAGTATGTGAAAACTGAACAAAAGGTCAACACTTTGTTTGTATGACTGTGATAGTGTTATATGCCCGAGTCAAAGCATCATGGATAAAAAGTTTTTAAATTGCTGCTATTGCTGAAATTGCATTAAACTTCCAAACTGCCTATCTAGAGAAGTCTGCAGTATTTGATACTTATTGTCTAAAAGCAGGTGTATTACAAGCCTTTAGATGGTTATTATATCATATCCCATAACAATCAAGAGATTAACTGAAATTGTGCGTAATATATTATCCTAATCCACAGGATTAGAAGAAGCAGTAACCCCTAATGGTTGTGTTGAATATACTCCAACTCTGTCTCAATAAGTTGTGGTTTGTCTGGACTTCAGTTCAGTTCATTCAGATGTGATTTTATTTACTCAACATTTTATCATAGGAGTCCTATGTGGTTAAGTGAGACCCCATTTTAATTTTTTTTTTCAAATTAGGACAACTGGGCAATTTTAAGTAAAGTCAATCTACAGTCTCATGGGAACATGAGGAAATGTGAAAAAGAACAAAAGGAGCTTAAACCCCTAACAGGTCAGCAACAAGTCAACACTTCGTTAAGATGATGTGTCAACATGGACACGCCTGACGAGGACCTGAGTCTGAGAGCTAGAGCAGTAAGCAGCCATCATCCTGCTGATTCAGCCTGTCCAAGTCATCGCTACCAGACACAGAGGTTTACGTGCCTGCTATCATTGCCACAGGTGTGTCTGCGTGCCGTCTGTCTGTCCCCTCCACCTCCCTGACATGTTCTGTCCTGTCCTGCTGCCAACATCACCATAGCTACTCAGCCAGCCACTGATGTCACCCCTCTTTTCTCTCTGTCTCTCTCTCTCTCTCACACACACACACACTCACACACACACACACACACACACACAAATGACGAGGAAGCGGTCACAGGCTGTTCTTCTCATGAAATCAGGGACAACACACACAGTTTCTGCGCTCTGCACATTATCAACCCATGGGTGATGCTGCTATGATTAAGTCTCTTGGTAAATAATGATTAGCTTCAGGAATATCTGGACTGTGGATGATAAAAATCAAGCCACAACCTCCTAAAAACACACACACACCTCCTCCTCTGGCCGTACCATTCATAATAAGCACTGAAGAACAGAACAGAGCACACAGATAAACACTGAGGCCTACATAAATACAGGACAGACCATGCGTGTGTGTGCGTGTGTGTGCATGTGTGTGTGTGTGTGTGTGTGTGTGTGTGGACTCTACACTAGGTCATTCTTGGCTCAGACATCACCTCTCAAGCTCTCCTCTGCTTGCGTGGAATGGCAAAGAGTGGCAACACTACAGCTCAAGCTGTGTGAGGGCCATCAGACAGACCCCCAAAATAGCTACAGTGTGTACATTAGAGGAGTACTGTGAGAGTACTGTAGGAACATGAAGAGCCAGTATTTACAAGATTTAAAGTTGGGAGGCTGGGATCACTGCCCAGGGCAAGTATGCTAACCATCTCTCCTAGACAGACAGGAGAATAAAAACCAGCCGCCTACGTTTTGGGAGTTATTCCCTTCTCAACTACAAAACACAGCTACTGCGTGTGTTGTAACTTATCCAAGTGCTTGTTAACGCCCCCTAAACCCAACAAAAAGTCTGAATGGTTGAATGGAGGCTTGAGGGAGGGGGCTGTGGATGTCTAAAGAAGCAAGTTACCATCCAGCATTTTGTGGGTTGCCTATTAATGACAAAGACAGAAAATTCCTTCTGTCTGTGCCAGTTTTCATTGGCTCACTACCGCTCTAATCCCTCCTTCCTCCAAATCTACAACTTTACACTTACAAATAGAACTGAGAAAAATGTGTGTTTTGTTTTATTGTTCTTTAAGTACAAGCAAACCCTTCGAGTTAGAGCGCGTTTAATTTTGGTACTGGTGAAGGGAGAGGCGTTCTCCACAGTGTAGAGTATGACCACACTGCTGTAGAATGCCACAAGAATGTTTAATATGCGGGAAGAGTTCCAGATACACACATACTAACTCCGACAATCTATCAGTTCTACACCAGGTATATACCTTAGCTTTTTTTCTTCATAGATTCCGGCAAACTGATATCCACTGTAATCATAATATTGCATTGCTGATTGCCCACAGCTGAACAAACATAGCAGTAAGCAATATTTGAGGGCAGTGGACTCATTTCACATAAGCCTTTTAGTATTATACCCTCTTACCTGTCCTCATCCACATCCATGGTAATATGGATGCCAAATAGATTGTTGACAGCAGGAGTGGGCAGGTTGAGGCCATCACTGATGAAAGGCTTTACACCATCTTTCCCTGGCACCACACCAGCACTGGGCTGAGGCAGGGCATCAGACTTCTGGATACCATCCTCTGCCTGGTTACTGAAGCCTGCTGTGGCTCCTCCATGGGCTCCCTGGGGGTGGACAAGTCCTCCTGTGCCAGGCGCCTGACTTGGCACACCCGGAGGGGTGTTGGTGGTACTGGGCACTGTGGCAGGCACGTTCTGAACACCGCTGTGGGAGGTTGTGTTGGTGACGGAAGGTGCGGGGGCAATGCCTATCCCTCCTGAAGGCTGAGTCTGGCTGACAGGCTGCTGTTGGCCACTTGTTGGATGGATGGAGGCAATGGCTTGTGCATTGCTCACTTGTAGCAGGAGGCCCTGGGCTGAGGCTGCCTCTCCGCCCAGCCCCTGGACTCCTGGACCAGCGGGGGTGATTAGTGGCGGGGGTACCTGGCTGCTTGGCACCACAGGGAGGGTTGTCATGGGAAGGTTCTGAGTGCTTGAGCCAAAGTGCTGCTGACGATAGTCCGGCTGGCCAGCTGAGAGGCCAGTGGGATGAGAAGAATAGGCAAACTGCTGGGGCTGCGTGGCAGGAGGCATAATGGGGGACTTCTGCATGGCACCTGGGTGCACACCGTTGAGGCTGTTGGAGAGGAAGGTTTGGGGAGCAACAGGCTGCATATTGACCTGAGCCTGTTGTGGTTGCTGTGACGCTGTAGTTGTGTACCCTGTGGGCTGGAAGGCACTTGCTCCACTCCCTATCTGAGGAGCCAAGCTGTAGCCTTGCTGCTGAAGCTCTGAAGGGTGGGCATGGGCGGTGTGCCCGGCAGAGTAACCACTATCAGCGGTGTTCTCTGAGGCATGTGCAGAAAAAGCACTACTAGTGACTACAGAGTTACTGGTGGCCCCTAGCCCACTGTCCCTGTCTATACTGTGATCAAGGGTTACAGATGGTCTTATGCTATCCACAGTCCGATTAACATTTGAATCTGAATCTCTCTCATAGAAGTCAGTGCATGTCCACCTGCCCCGTCTGAAGGGCTCTCCGGTACCATGGTCAAGTTTAATGACCCTGAAACGGGAACTACAGCTGTTAACAGGAGCTGTGGGAGCCACACTGGTAGAGATGGTGGCAGCAGGGGCCGTATTGATGACTGTCAAGGGATGGGTGGCTGAGCTTGGAACAAAGGGTTGAGCTGTAGCTGGCACAGGCACACTTCCTCCTAAATTTTGTGGGGTGACACGACCAGTGCCTAAACTTTTATAAGAGAGTCCCCCGTTGACAGGACCCGTGGTGGGCGGCTGGCCCTCCTGCGTCTCCCCAACATTGTTCAAGGTTTCCTCGGATGAACTCCTGTCACACACCCCCAGATCGGCCCGAGAAACGTCAAATATTTCCGACGACACGTCCTCTGTGCGGGACTCGTCCGGATCGTCCAGGCTCTCGGTGTCGTCGGTGATGCTGCTGGCCGCCACCTGAGCCTGCGTTACACTAGTGATCTGGAAACAACTTTTCTTCTTTGCTGGCATTTTCGACATGTTGACTATCTGCGTCAAGCCTGTCTGCTCCCAGATAAAACTAAGTGCTGGACTAATGTCTCGCGAAGTAATTCACAGCTGGGGGATATGACACAGACACGTACCGTCACAGTTCATTTCCATACCGTTCCTCTTCCTCTCTCTTGTCGGAGAAAAGTGTCACAACCGAGGCCAGATACTCCGAAACTCCCGATGCGTTCCGCTGTCTCCGGTAACAGCACACTGCTGCTCTCCTCCTCCGGCCTCTCTAACACCCGGTCGGCCTTTTTGTGTCCCGGCAGCGGAGTAGCAAACAGGCCCTTGTCAAACTTCTTGCTCTGCAGCTGCCACCGGCACTTTAGTCTGAGGCGGGCCCGGTCTCTCAGCCCACTCCTCTCTCTCTGCTATATATGTGTATATCTCGCCGACTAGCTAAGTTAGCTGATGTTAGCTAGTTTCCCTGCCTCGGTACCAGCATGTGCTGCATTATGATGTAAACAAATCCATCGGCGTTTCAAAAAGAATATATAATCGAGCAGCAGAAAGAGAAAATGTCTCAAAGTCGGTCAAGTTTTGCCTCTCAGCCGTATGGACAGCTCACTTTTGGCAGCTGCTACTAGCAGCTAGCTGACAGATAACCAGTTTACCACAGCGGCAGTAAGCTAACAGGCAGCTAACTCTCCTCCTCTACCACCCGACAAGATGGCAAGAGCGAAGTGCATGCTGGGTATGGAGGTCAAACTAGTTAAATAAATAAATGATTTAAAAAACAACCAAAAACTTTTACGTTCTACACTGTTTGAAAAACCGTCAACATTTTTAAATAGTATAATAATAATAATAATAATAATAATAATAATAATAATAATAATAATAATAATAATAATAATAATAATAATCATAATCCTACCTTTATTAAGGTTTATATATCGTGTTTATTGAATAGTTGTGTCGATTTAACTGTGGTCATTCTGTAGGATGTAGTCTCTGATGCTGTCTCTGATGCTGTTGAACTGTAGTGCATTATTCAGATCTGTTATTTAGCCTACCCTTAATGATACAAATGGTGTTGGAAAAAAAAAAAAAAAAACACCTGTCGGTATAATGCAATATCTCTCTATAAATTGTAAGTAAGACTGTTGTATCAGACTGCATTATCTTTAGTAAGGTGCACCAAAACTTCTTTACTTGTTTGAGCCAATTGTACTTGCTCTGTGTTTTTGATTGCATTTACCCTCCTTTTTAGGAGGTAGTCTCACTACTACTACAGAATATTAAGTTGTTTGGTAGTGTTCTTTTATTTAATATCTTGTTAGTTATGTGCTGATGCCGCTCGTAACATAGTACGTGTGGTTTGGGATTGTGGGAGAGCACTTGTGTGTATGTATTTGTTGATGTTATTATGTTGATTGTTTTGTGCACCTTTATCATCGTTACTATTATACATGTGCTTGTTACTATTACTATATTTTTGTGTCATGAACCCCCTTGAAAATGAGATGATGCATCACAAGGGTTTATCCTCAAATTAAATTTGAAATAAATAAAAGCCTGTATTGTAGACTTTTTGGTTTGTTTTTTTAAACGGGGCATAACCTTCTTACATTTGCACTTGCAAAGGAATTTAGCCAAAATAACAATTAAACCAAACAGCACATGTACATCAGGAGGGACATGATCGACAATTAAAGCACTAATATTAGACCAAAAACATGAGAGTATTTTCAAAACAAGTGAAAAACATACTCAGTAACCAAAGCACAAAAGGTACAATTATCGTCAGTGTCACTTTTAAATCTTATTAAATATAGATCAGAGTGGAAAAAATTGTGTAAAACTTGAAAGAGATTTACTTTATTAGTTATTAGATAGGCCTACTTATGTGGTTAGCTCCAGATCTTTCCAGTTTAAAATATTAACATGTGAAATAGAGACTATATTGTTCATTAGTTGTGTAGCAAAACAGATCTGACCGATGGCAGTAGCTAAACACTATTTCTGTATTAAATTTTTTTTTTTAAAAGCAACAAAAAAAAAAGCTGTCGTCGTCATCGACATCACTTCCGGTTAACGTCCCACCCGGTAAAGTAGAACAGAGTTCACCAGCTGTTGACAGATGTTAGTTTCGGTAATAATTTGGCAATTATACATTCGAGGAAGATCGCGAATTATAAATGTAGTTTAAATAATATTGGCTACAAATGTATTGACTGTTATTCACACCACAGCCATGACAAGAAACAACGCCCTTTTAAACCGTATGAATAGAAACTGCGGACAGAAACTGCTGTCCATTTTAGAAGCATATTTTTAACTGACTTCTGTTGCTAAATTCAGTTTCTATCCGGGATTAAAGTCTGAAACATTCATGTAATAAAAGCGCAGTGACTCATATCACCTGAGTCATTGATTATGCTGCCTGACAAGGCTGAGAGTCATGAATGCGTTTCTTATGAATATACAGGTGTGACAATGAAATTAACAATAATGAAATAATACTGCGTACGTTAGATCGCCAGCTATAATCCTGATTCAGGAATTTTCATCCACTGATCCTGCAGATCATTTCAAACTCTGAGGTATTTTTAGACTGTCTCGCACACACAGCATCTTTTAGATCCACACACAGATTTATAATAATATTCAAGTGAAGGCTGTTCCAAAACCACAGCTTGTGTTTCTTATAGTAGTTCATAGTGGACCATTGTCCTGTTGTAGAGACCAGTCTTCTTTTCAGTTTTACTTTCTTGACTGACTGCTTGACATTTACATCCAGAAATTACTGATATTTAGTGGAATCCATTCATCCCTCCATTTGTGCAATGTTTCCTGTGCCACTCATTGCCACACAACCCCAGAGCAGAATATTTCCACATCCATGCCAAACAGTGGGCAAAGGGGTGGTTATGAAGTACTGACTTAGTACTATATATATTAGAGACTATAAAAAACAGTTAAGGGAAATTCTAATTTATTGATGTCTGTTTGCTGCAGGGGTTGTTAAACTTTTGGATATAACTGTATATAGACAGATGGGTGGCCTAGTTTATTAACACTAATAACAAATTATTTTATCACTAAGTCACATTAATCATAAAACATACCTCATAAGGATGCTCAAGAAGGTAGATGAGAATTAAAATTACAAAAATTATAATAAAAACAATCTTTAATTGAAACTGAACTAAGCTATAATTGTAAGACAAATCATATGAAATAGAGAACAGCACCTCACATTACTGTTCCTTGAAAATTAAAGTCTAATGTCTAAACCTAATGAATGACACATTGACTTGACACACTTAGTATTTGCCATGTTTAAAAAGACTTAACTCTATTCTTTTGTGTGAAAGTCAACTTCACCTTTCAGCTGCATGGTAGTCACCAGCGCACTCAGCCTGAAGGGGCTGAAAGACATTATTAAACAAGCTTTGATTCAGCATAGGCCTGTCATCTCCCAAACCAACCACCAGTATAGACACATTTTCCAGTAAAGCATACCAGTATTTGGCTGGTGGCCAGTGTTCGCATCCAGTCACGTCCCAGAAGCAGGAAATTCTTCATGCATATGGCCCATGACTATGTTGACCCTTAAGGGTAAAGCACAAAACCAAACACATTCAGTGATTAAGAGAAATACACTCTTATCAGTGTTTTAGTATTTACAGCATTTCAGAATTTGGACTGTATTCGGATTGTATTATTATATTTCATTCTTGCATGTCTTTTGCCATTAGAGGCCAGTGTACACAACACAAAACTGTAATATGTTCCTGAGAAGCAAATGTGTTGTTGAGAAATGGCTCTGATTTCCCAAATACATCCCAATAAATAGAATGACTTGCTCCAAAGACCAAACCTGTAAGGTTACTGCACCGTCCTTTAAATGAATTTCTTCGTTTGACATCTGTCCACCCCCAGTGCTGCTTTGGAGGGTGGAAATTCAATTCAGTTTTATTTGTATAGTGACAAATCATAATACACATTTTGACTTTACAATGTAAGGGCAAGGCCTTACTTTATTATAGGGAGAAACCCAAAAGTTGCCACAAAGAGCAAGCACTTGGCAACGGGGGGGGGGGGGGGGGGATAGATCCCTAATAGATGGTCACATTACACTGTGACCATGCTTTTCCATCAGATTCTGAAAGAATGGTAGCTGTTTAATAATAAGGTCCGGTAATAGCAGGACACACTAACACACTAAAGCTGAGGTTATAGTCTGAGAGCTCCCCTTAAAGGGCAGGGGTTACTCCTCTGAGGGGAGAAATCTTCACATTTTGGACATAAAAAACAACAACAAAAGAAAAAGGTGGATGTGGCCTGTTACACAGCTCTTATCAGGAGGAGAAACCTTTTGGATAAGAGGAGATGTTTTCAACAATAAACTGCAGTCAACTTACCACTTTATGACACAAAAGTTGCTTGCTTACCTGATTTCATCCACATTGTGTCACTGACATCATTCCCTGATAGTGACTCATTTGCGATGAACTGATGACTAGAGGGTATTGCAACAATAAAGGCCATCAGAGGCTTGTGGTCAACTACAGGACAGTCCGTCACAGGATCAACACATGTCATAAGGAAAAATAAATGGGTCATGATGTTGTCCTACGTTTGAGTGACACAATTTCTGATCACAAAGATGTGATCCTTGTTTTTACTGTCTCAGGTCTATCTGTGTACTAGCTGGTAGCATGCTAGCTGGCAGTAAAAGTAGTGTAAAGCTGGACCAAGAGTCAAAACTGAATGATTAGTTCTTAGTGTGGCTCTGGATTCAACCAAAACACATTCACTTTATAGGGCATCTTGGTGGTCTTGGCATTAAAGAGCATGTAAGTGGGATGCAAATTCACCTCCAGATACAGAGGAAAGTGTACAGGCACGTTGTCCTGCCGTTATAGTGGAAGCAGAGGTCTTAGAAATTCACCGGAGGAGTTGTGGATCCAGTTTGACTTCAGCAAAAGGATTCTGTTACATTTCAAACAGGCAGTGGAAGGTTTTTGACTTAAGTAACAGTAACAACATCACAATGTAAAAACAGTGTGGCCAGGTTTTGAAGGCAACATACAGTCAAGTCAAGTCAAATTTTAATTTATTGCTTAAAATCACATATTTGCCAAAAAATTTCACAACTCACAAAAACCACCTCCATCCTTAAGACCTGCATAGCAAAACACAGAATTGCAGGTGTGGACAATGGCCATACGAACTGTGCCAAGGAGGATGTGGTAATATTAGGTTCAGTGTGTTGCTCAAGGACACTTTGTCAGGATCAGAGACTCCAGGGATCAAACCTGTGACCTCTCTCCCTCGTCTCTTAGATCAACAGGTCACTTTCCCACTGCCTGTCTTCTGTTTATTGCAGTTTTATTGCCCATCAAAAACTACATATGTGTGTGAGAAAGGGCAACACCACTAACCATAGTATTTTGTTCATAAAGTTTATTACATGGGTGATGAACAGTAAGGTTGAAAATAGCTTTGCCATATTATTCCCCTGACACGACTGACTAATCATTGAATTACACGGTTACATAATGTCCGGGTGCCGGCTCACAAGGTCTGTCTGACAAAAACAATTTCATGCAGTCCTCAGATAAGACAGAGGAGATGGAAAACAACTCAATATATGAGTT